ATTTTCAGCGTATTGTATTACAATGTTAATCAATCGATACACGAACGTAAACAAGTGCAAACCGGTTACATCCGCGTAAGAACAATAAAGCTGTATAGTATCACCTGGTAATTAAGAGTTTATATAGAATAGTACAGTGCGTCACAAATTTGGCCAAGGACTGTATATTAAAAATTTAAAAATTAAACAAGAACAACAAAAAAAAAGAAATACTAGAAATGTTTACTATAAATAGAGTTTTTTTTTAGGAAAAATGCAGTATTTTTACGTGTAAGCTTTGTAAAAATACAAACAAGAAAATACAAAAAAAAAGAAGAAAAAACTTCAGTTTCATGAGACACAAGACAATTTCAAACAATATATTTTGACAAAATACTTACTGTGTCTAGAAATTCAATGAATTTTGATATATAGTAGACGTAAAAGGCTTCAAGCATCTAAAAAAATGATAAAAATATTTTTAATGGGAAATTAAATATCTCATACAGTTTCTTTATATGTAAAGTTGAAATATACGAAATGCAGGCTTTGTCTACAATGCCTGGACTTTTGTATACAATACCCGAATATCGGGCAAATGTTAACTGATAGATGGAACACACATCTGTAAACTACTTTTCCACAAGAACGTATACTTAATTACTCAAAAACTGAGCCAATATATACAATGCAGTAAAGAATGATCTGAAATCGTCTGCTTACAGACATATGCGAAAAAAGAAAATTTAAACTTCTGATATTAATTATCAAACATTTAAGAGAAGCGCATCAAACTTTGCTGTAGTTCTAAAAATCAACATGTGGATAAATGATATAAAAATCAACATGTGGATAAAAGATATAAATGTCAACTGGGAGAAGTCAGATAAATTGGAACAAAATTTCTGGAAGAAACACATATTAATAAATGTTCCATTCCGGTTAGAATCATTTCTTTTTATTTTCCCAAGTGTGCGTTTTGAAAGGTTTTCAAAATAAATTTAAAATAATTTTAATAAAAAACTATAAGTTATTTTAACCGATCAAAAAATTATAGGGGAGAGTCGGGTAGCCCCGCTCACTTAAGGAGTATTGCTTATATTTCTGTATATAATATTGAGTAATAATCAACATTTTTGTATGTTTCTATTGTTTTATCATCTAATTAAATAATTCAAAAAGAATAAACCGAAAAAAAAATAGTTTTACTTAAATAGAAATTGAAAAAAACATGTTTTTCAGTTCTTTTCATAATGTGTCGGGTAACCCCCCTCAGTTACAAAAATTATGTTTTATGACTATTTTTTCAGGAGTAAATGAAAATGACCAATGTATTGACAATTATTTTCAAAACTATTGTTTACCATGTTAACAGCTGCGTAAATGCTTGAAACTTTGAAAATAAACTTTTTTTAATGTAATAATTAATGTCCGATGGCCCATTGACTTGAAAAAATATTCTATACATATGAAATTGACAGTGGGCGGGGGTACCCGCTGGGCGGGGCTACCCGACTCTCCCTTACTTGTATCTCAAATTATCATCGCGTATCTTGCAGCTTGCAGCTTTAAATCAGAATTTTTTGAGTGAGCATATCTTGAGTTTCTAAAATATATTAAAATCACTAACTTTGACGGCAGCATCATTATTCGAAAAATCCATAGGTTCACATATCCAGCTGAAGTTATTAAACCAGCCGTAAGCAGCAAACTGCAAGAAAAATTTCATAAATTAAGAAGTGTTCCATACACTAATATAAATTGCTAAATAAAATAAGACGTTTTCACTGCACAAAAAAAAAACGAAACGCCGTGAATAACTTTTGATCTAGTTATTAGATTTCCATCTATTTGGACTCAATGTTTCGAGAACTTCAAGCGTTACAAATATGCTAACTAGTTAGAGCAGATGACATTTTAAATTGCGAAATCAGACACAAAACGTATTTTCTCCTAATAGTGGCTTACTTGACCGATTTCGTTCAAATTTTGTATTTCGACACAAAAATAAATTCTTTAAAATAATTAAAAAATATGAGTATTTTGTTATTGAAAAATGTTTCGACTATTATCATGTAACATAATTAACGAAAGTAAACGAATTTAATAACTTAGTAGAAATTTTTTTCAATTCACTTAAAATGTTCGGGACTTCTCCCTGAGCCTGGCGCAAGCAAATAATCGCCAAGAAATGTAGAATTGTGCCAAATTTCTTACTACCATATGGGAAATGTTAGCTTGGTGCCATGTGCTCTATTGTAAGAATTCTTTGGGGATAAAACTGTTTTGTTTACAATTCATTAATATTTGTTTACAGTTGAACTTGTTCTGCTTACTATTAATAAATATTTGTTTATAGTTGAAGAGCTTTAGACTTTTATTCCGTTGACTGTTTTGTTTGTCATTCGCTTCTCTTTGCAACTTGGCTCGCGTCTTGTTCACAATTGGCAACATTAGTGACAAGCTAACGGAAAAGTATCAAATACTCTGTAGATACGATAATATGTGGTCGGAAGTTTGGAAACTAAAGTTTACATAAAAGGTACTAAATTTACGACTGTCCAAACAAATACTAGGAACATTATATTTCCAAGATTACGAACAATATTTTTAGTTTTTATTTCAAAAATATTTTTAAAGACGAATATTTTTTTTTAAATCAGCGCACGCGTTTACCTTTTTGATAAGGCTATAGTTCACAAACTTCGGTGTCATTTAAAACTTAAACATTTCTTTTTGTATGAGAATAAGTAACCTTTAAAAAGTATTGAACATGTGTTTCTCTTCAAGTTCTTTTTTTTTCTCAATTATTTTTAGTTGATACACTTTTTGCCAGATACCATGAATATTGTCATGTATGTTTCCATAATCCGTATTGTTTTTATATATTCCAAACAGATACAGTCACTGAACAAATTATTAGACGCACTATAAAATTCTATGTAAAATCTTAATTATCAGGTGATAGTATACAGCTTCATTGTTTTTATGTGACAGAAACCGGTTTGCACTTGTTTAAGTCTGTGTATCAATTGGTTAAATTAGACGATAAATAATATAAATTCAACTATAGGATAAATTAGACGATATACAATATTATATAAATATAGAATATTTATTATATCAAGCACTATATTAGTATATTATAATAATTAGATCAAATTAGTAGACACACTGTAGTTTTTTAATAATTACATGATTTGCACCAGTTTATAGACAATGCTTAAATAATTAAACATACATGTAATGGGTTTTTATTCAGGAGATTCTTTCATATACTTATATACTTCCTATGAGTATTTATTTTTAACGTATTGCATTACAATGTTAACCAATTGATACAGGACGGTAAACAAATGCAAACCGGTTTCATCCGAGTAAAAATAATAAAGCTGTACAGTATCACCTGATAATTATAATTTTACATAGAATCTTATAGTGCGTCTTATAATATGGTCAAGGGTTGTATATTTTCTACATAACTTTAATTCTATTAATAGTATGTAAGTTTAAATTTCTAAAAGGAAATTGTATAAATAGTACTATGTATAAAGTCAGACTTGCCATATTTATCACCAAATAGGGTAAGAGACATAAAATTTTACAAGACGAAATTTCAGAAAGGCAAATAATTCTAAAAAAGTATGAAAATTCTTATTTCCTTTTGGATAAAATTGTAGAAAGCTGAATTATCCATTTGAATAAATAAACAAATAAATATATTTTAATTATTGCTGATAATAGACTTGACAAAATAAAAATACACACAACTGTAAAATTACTGAAACCACATAACATTCCAACATAAAATTTTCAAATATACAGCTCTCAAAATAAATTTATTAATTTTTTTTTCTCAACAGTTTCTCTAACACCACAGGAAATCCAATGGTATGCCTGCTGTTGATGTAGTATGGGTACCTTGATCCTTATAGGTTATTGAAACGTGGCATTTGTTTACATTAGCAACTGTTCTTTCCATTCTATTTCGATTAAGCCAAGCCCACCAAGTACCAGTTGTCTTAAGTGTCACACTTAAATTTCTTTAACAAAGATTCTTTCACAAAGATTTCATTTCTTTCACTGAATATTTCTTACTTAACACAAAGACAGGTACGATACCATGCAGAACAAAAACAAACTAATTATGCATCGAAGTTGCCAGGTACACAGAACATATGTCATGGTTACAATAAAATGCATAGCCAAAAAACAAATCTTATTTAAGTAAGAGACGTAGAAGAGAAATAATTATACTTTAACAAATTCGATGTGCGATGCGTCGCTGTATTTAATTAACTTTGTGTTTATTAATATTCCAACTTATGTGAAAAAACTTGGCTCGACTTTATCACGCCATTTTGTTTATAAACGATCAGATGATGCTGACGTCATAGATCACGTGTGTCTTCTTCTTAAAGTACAAGTACCAAATTATGTAATTTAAAAATCCATCAACTAATCCTTATGTTGTTTAAAAAGCAGCGAGATAAAATTTAAAAGATCCGCGATGGCTCAGGGGATGGAGCGTCCGCCTTCCAATGAGGTGAACCAGGGTTCGATCCCGGCGATGGCTGGTCGATACGAAATCTGCATCCGGCTTGCACCGACCACAGTGCTGACGTGAAATATCTTCAGTGGTAGACAGATCATGGATGAGAGTCCCGTTACCATCAGGCTGACCGTGGGAGATTTTCGTGATCTTCCTCTCCATGTAACGTAAATTCGGGTTAGTTCCATCGAAAAAGTCCTCCACGAAGGCAAACTTCTCCCAATACTTGATCGAGAAATTCCCTTGTCTTCTGAATCGGGTTCAAAATTACAAGGCTACGGAGTTGAACATTAGTAGTCTTAAACCCAAAAATTGGGTCGGCTGTTCAACGACGGTTATAAAATATATAAAATAAAATAAAATGTTGTTTAAAAGAAATATGCCAAAATATCTTTCAGACAGTGACAAAATGACACTGAATTAAAAATAAAATAAAGACCAATTTACTCACCCTATAAAACATCCATCCACTTAAAGCTACAAGAACAATGTTGTAAAGAAGCATCGGTGTTCTTAAATCATATGGATTCCTGTTTTTCATCATCTTAGGTCCAATTATTTTGATATAAATAAGAAAAATGATAACACCTGCGTATGTCTTGTATGGTGAATCCATCAAAGGATAAGAAATTACTCGTGGATCTAAAAATCACAAAGTTGGTTTTACGCTTAGGAAATTTAAATATTTGACTTTTATTAAATTTTCTATAATCATAAATAAGTTTTAACACATTGAACTCCGCTCGTTTTCTTAATTAAATCCCCGTCCTGCCATACGCGCTGTTTATTAGTGCTAGTATTGTGATATAGCAAATCGTAGCACACCACTGACAGATTAACATAAAAATTAAAGTATTTGTAATAAATAAAAATCAATTAAATTTTTAATAAATTTTCAGTAATTACTTAATAACTATGACATTTTTTTTTAGTTTTATCTTAATTTTTACACACTTAATAATGAATTTTTAGTTTTATACTAATTTTGTTACCGATGAGCAGCGTGGCATTTAATATTTTACTCTATAAGCGTCGCTGAACAGCAGACCCAATTTTTGGGTATACGACAACTAATGTTCAAATCCGTTGCCTTGTAATTTTGAACCCAATACAGAAGACAAGGGAACTCCTGGATCAAGTGTTAGGAGAAATGTCGCCTTCGTGGAGGACTTTTAATGAAACTAACCCGCATTTGCGTTATTTGAAGAGGAAGACCACTAAAACTTCCCACGGTTAGAATGACGGCATGGGAATTCTAACCCATGATCTGTCTACCACTGAGGATATTTCACGTCAGCACTGTGGTCGGTGCAAGCCGGATGCGGAATTCGTGGCATTCAATATATTGAAAATTAACGTAACTTTAAACAATAGTGTTTTTATTATAATAGTATCTATTATATAGTGTCTCATATAATACTAGAACCCCCTACCGCTTGCTAGATTGCATCCCAATTTACGCTCGCTTAATTAACGTTTTTTTACCCTGCTTTGTATATATATCGCGTTATTCGTTTTTATAGTAAAGTTCTAAAACTTGGTAACATATACATCCTGTGAAACTTTTGATTCATATATATTTTTGTGCTCTTTGGGTTCGGCTGTCTTCAATCCTTTGTTGCCAAAGCGAAAAAGAAATTTTATCAGTTTTTTTTGAAGTTATACTTCTTATGCTGCACGGAAGCGAGCGGATCAGGAAAAAGATTCGTTGAATAGAACTAGTGATCCTTCTACGACTGCTGATTCTTCTACAATTAACGTCGCAGGTTGCGAAGTTTAACTTCTTCCGCGTGGAGGGACTCCAAGCACTATTCTTTTTTTCTATTAAAATAAACGTAATGCGTATTTCTGTTTTATAGAATGAGAATAAGACAGAGAGATAGTAACACTAATTTAAAGTTTGGTGAAGTAAATAGAGTGGCCTGCCGGGATTGCTTTATATCTTACCGAAATATTGCTGCTCGCGTTGGTCGAGATCCCATGACTGTTAGCAGAATATGGAATAGATAAGTTCATGACGGTCATATGGAACGCCATGCAGGATCTCAGTAGAGCCCCATCACTAACAGCCGAGAAGACAGACCTGTTNCATACCGCAGTATTGCTGCTCGCGTTGGTCGAGATCCCATGACTGTTAGCAGAATATGGAATCGATGGGTTCATGACGGTCATATGGAACGCCATGCCGGATCTCAGTAGTGCCCCATCACTAACAGCCGAGAAGACAGACCTGTTGTCTAAATGGCCTTAAGGGATCGTACAGCTACGTCACGAACTCTGAGTCAATAAATGGGGTGGGGTCATTTGCAAGACAACAAGTGTCTGCACGAACAGTTCGTCGACGTTTGCTGCAGCATTGACTGGCAGCATGGCGACCATATCTTCGGCTACCCTTGACGCCGCATAACAGGCAGAAGAGCCTCCAATCAACCCCGAATCTGGACGCAGAAATTGCATGACGTCGCCTTCTCAGGCAAATCCAGGTTCTGTATACAGCATCATGATGGCAGCCTCAGTGTTTGGCGACATCGTGGAGAACGTCCATTGGCAGCTTGCATTCGACATCGTCTTACTGGCCCATCACCTGGAGTAATGTTATAGGGTGCCATTGTATACACGTCTCTATCACCCCGTGTTCGCATTGCCGAGACTTTGAACAGCAGCCGTTACATTTCTGATGTCAATGTTAACCAATTGATANATTCGACATCATCTTACTGGCCCATCACCTGGAGTAATGTTATAGGGTGCCATTGTATACACGTCTCTATCACTCCATGTTCGCATTGCCGACACTTTGAACAGCAGCCGTTACATTTCTGATGTGTTAGGGCCAGTTGCTCTCTGCCTTATCTTTGAGGCCTCCATAACGCTACGTTTCAGCAGGGCAATGCACGACAGCATGTTGCCAGCACTGTTTTCACTTTCCTTGACACAGAACATGTTTGCCTGTTGCTCTGACCAGCACGTTCTCCTGATCTTTCACCAAATGAAAACGTCTGGTCAATGGTTGCCGAACGACTGGCGTGCCACCACTCGTCAGTCACTACGGTCGATGAATTGTGGCATAATAATGAAGCTGAATAAAATGCTGTACCCGTCCATGCTATCCAATCTCTGTTCGACTCGACTCCCAGGAGAATAACTGCTATTATTGCTGCCAAGGGAGGCTGCTCTGAGTAGGGGAGAGTGGGGTCAATTGT